ATATTATCAATTTCGTTTTGAATTACTTCATGTTGCCGATGAGCCGATAGTCCAGGATTAAGGTTTGATGCAAATGGCAGCACATCATTAGGTATTTCGCTGAAATCGACCATAATTTTGATATACATTGAGTTGTCTCGAACATAACGATTATTTGCTTGTTCAATGATTGCCAAAGGACAAAACTTTGGAATACCACTTGCAATATTCATTTCCGACCTTGGTCGTTGAAAACTACTCGATCTTACATCTGGTCGAAATGTATCAATGATATGCTGTTTTTTATCAGTTTGATCATACAAGTTAAATATTATTCTGAAATTGAATGGCCATGAAAGCATGCCATCATGGTTTCCTTTCATAAGAACCAAAAAGAGTGACATATGTGTTCCTTGACCATCATCAACACCATTTAGATGTAGACGAGCACACATTTTGTAACCTGTACGTGATGAATAAAACGGAGGTGAATAAATTGATGTCTGACGTTCAGATTGAGCATCCACTAGAATACAAAAAGTTGAATCGATTAAATACTGATAGTAGAGCTCATAAAAAGTGCAACAAATAATCTTACTCATTTTTTCTTGAACATTTATTATTTTCCATATGAATATTCCATCGTATGACGGAACCTGTGTATGTTCCAATTTTTGTCGAATTGATTCGATAGCGTGTAGAAGTATTTCTTGTTGAATTTTCATTTCATTTATCGAACTATTTGACTTTGTACAGGTTAATTTAAGTAATGAGATAGTTCGTGTCAAATTTTCTATTAACTCTTGCCTTTCACGTGATTCATTACTATGACGTTCTACATCGTTATTTAAAGTTTGAATTCCATCAACAAGAATATCGATAGTCTCATATACTTTTTGTAATTTCCTAAGAATTATTTCAGATTCATTTTCAAAATGTCCATTTATCCGAATGTTTAATAAATTGCGTATGCAATTGATTATTGCAAGTTGATGTTCTTGTGTCAAATAATGTGCTTCCATTTCAAAACGATTTAACTGAAGAATAAGGAAACAAAAGTCAGAAAATATAACAAAATTATTTCTCTTAACATACTCTATTGGAACAACCATAATCTTTTAGAGAACAAGATACAGTTACCATAGGACAGTTTGTTATTTTATGCTCATTTAGATGATCTGTGGATGTAAATATTTTATCACAATATTCACAAGTCGGCTTTGGATGGAACTGATCAAGATGATCCTTCAGAGAAAAACAAATTGAGATAATCTTTCTTAACTTAATACAAATCTTATGTTTTGTGTTGGACATTTATGGAATATAAATTTTTTCATCAACTCGACTAATAATAATTGTTACTGTAATAAATCTCAATGATTCTTCAAGCAATATTATTAGATGGATGATTTTACTAACGGTGGATTCCTTTCTTTTGTTCTCTAATGTAAACGACAACATAGCTAACATTTTATTTCTTTTTTCTTAATATTTACTGATTCATTTGATCTTACTTGATAGAATTTCAGTTGATCACTCTAATCACAATGTGAACAAATAATATTCAACAAATTCATTTCTCGTTGAAATCCTTTATCGAGTATTGCCTATGAAAATTTCGAAGTATACATCATATATAAAAGTTGAAAGATTTTACTTCTTGTTTAACCGTTTCTTCATGACATTCTGAACATATTACACTACTTCTATGAAATAAATCGGCAAAGAAATATCAATTGATATGAATATCGAATAACACTTACCCATTGTAATTTTCTACACACGTCTTACATAAACGATGGCCACATGGAAGTTGAACAGGATCTCGCAAAATGTATGAGCAAGAACGGCACTGATATATTTGTTTGATGCTATTAATATTACCTGCATTGAAACCAACACACGGTTGCGAAGAAATAGAAAATTCATGTAGTCCTAAATTCTTCTGCTTCATTTGCACTTGTCGCTTTCTATTTTCAAGCATTGATGACAAACAACTCGAATCGAGTGGTTTTGATGAATTTAAAACACCAGAATCAAAATTGTTTCGAATGCGGTTTTCTACCTCTGCCTTCAAGCAGAATATAAATTTGGAAGAAATTTGACTGAGATTTTGTTGAACTTTTAGAATATTATTTTCTGAATCAAAATAAAAAGTGACACGTTTTACTTGCATAAGTTGCCATAGATTAGATGAAAGAAATTGATCAATGTGTTGACCAGGTATATAGAGATCGAACGAATCACAATCTTTATAAAATTTAAAACCATAATCGATCAATTCTTCTACCTTAGGAAACATTTGAAGATTAGAATTTATGAGGCCATCAAAAACACCATTTTCTGCCATAATCAAAGTTTTTCGACGAGTATCTTCATCCATTTCTTCTTTAAATTTGCTTTTGGGATGAGTTATTGTGTGTAACAGGAAATGTTCTAACACAATATTTTTTATGCAGCAATCATGCTGTGCAGTTTTTAGTAGGAGATAATATTTCTATATCTAAAATGTGAGATATCTCTTCTAAGGTATGATATTTCTGTATTTAGAAAAAAAAACAGTACAATTATGTCTCTTATGATTCTTTATTTGGCTTTAAATTCTGATAAGCAAAGGTGTTTAAAATATGCAAACAAGATATTACTTGAGAAAATTCACATTCTTACTAAATTTTCTGCAAATGTGTAGATGTCAATCGAACGCTGATAGTTTCTGTCAGCAGCTTGTATTAATTCTGCATTGTCTTTTTGACGATCGGCAGTCTCTTCGCAGAATAAAGCTATATCCAGTAGAAGTTTGATCAACAGTCGAAGAGGATCATCAAAAACACCATCTAATTTTGAGTAATTTCTCGCCAATCGTCTCTGATACTTCATTGATTCTGTCTCGCATCGAAAATACATTGAATAAACATTACCATAATCATGTATTCGATCGACTAAGTATTTAGAATATCGTACACAGTCGAGTATGATGAAATGAGTGATTGAATCATCTGAATCGATACTTTGAATCAATAATGCTTCATTTCGCAGTTCAGCTACATCAATGCTGATGCTCGAGAAAAACTGTGACACAAATGCTGGTATTAATGACACTACTAAGTGATCGGCAAATAGGATAATTTTGATTTGGGGTGCATACACTAAAAATGACAAAAAATATTATCAATATTATTCAAACCAGGCAAAAATCGCCGGTAAATCTTCAGTAGTAGCAAAAGAAAACCACCGATATAGCAACGATGAATTGGCTGCAGTTTGGTACTAAAATGGTCGCCTATTTTCTGACTTGCAATTTACTGCTAGTTTACGGGTAGTCGCATAAAAAAAGCATACAAAATCAATGTTTAGTTGAAGAAACTAAACTAATATAAAGAAATCTTCTCATTGTTTTAAATTCTTCAGTTTATTCTTATTACAAACAGACAAACCTTTTGTGCAATAATTGTTTTGCAAATACCGATAAGGCTGTAAATTAGTGTTGAATCGCCAGAAATCAACTTCATTTTGAGAAGAAACCTCATCGATCGAATTCTGTATTTTGGTTTCAAGTTTAAACGGCTTTTGTTGATGAGGCGCATTTTGGCATTGATTAAAATTCGTAGCCATGCGCTCATGTAGTTGATTCCGTAAGAAAATTTATCTGAAACACATGAATAAATTTGTTTCATAACTAATTACTTTAACTAGTTGAACATTTTCAACACTAGTGTTGTATATTTCAATTTCATTTTTTTTGTTTTACTTGTTTTATAATCTGCACAGAAGCTATCAAAAATGTAAATAAGGAGCTGAAAACTAGAAAATAGAAAACCTTACAATATTCCTATTTATGTTCTAACGAATGCTTTTTTGTCCTACTTAGAATTCTTTTCTTTAGTCGACATAAAAGCTTGCTCTGAAATTAATTGTTTATAAATAAATAAAAAATAGCTCTGATAAACTGTCTCTTAAAATCAAAGTTAAACGGATTTCTGATTTGCTTTGAAAGTCAAGAATTTGAACGTAGGTTTCTATTGCAGCTAAGACTTTATTTGCGAAGATCTATTGAATGACTGCCAATCATTTCTTGGCTCGATAATATAACATGTATAAAGTGCTGCGGTGAGGTGTATGTGTGAGTAAGGATCGAATTTAGGCCGCGCCCACGCTCACGCTCATACCTTAACTCCACTCGATGACTAAGAATAGATTATCTGGTTTTTTCAATCACTATATGTCCTTACTAAGTCGATTGATCTTATTTCGAAATTAATATAAGATATGACAATGGAATGTTTCGAGAGAAGAGACAAGTGAAGAATATTCCATGTCATATCCATGAAAATTTCCTTCAATCTTGTTTCATTCAAAACACGCTTTAGATTAATCTAACTTAGTATTATTTTTTGAATAAAATAATAACTAGAAAAAGAATCGAGCTGAAATTTTCATATTTATGCAAAGTCAAATTACTTCTAAAAGAAAATAGTTTAGAGATGTTTGAGATAAACTATGAAGAAGATTTACGTCATATTAATAGAACTTTTGTAAAAGCAACATTGTTCAATCTCAAAAATGAAAAACTAATTATCAAACATTTCTCAAAACTTATTCAATGTACAAAAAGTTATATATTCATATTGTATAGACATTTTAAATTTTTCTGAATGATGCGCACAATTTTAGTGCTCGTGTTTAGTTCTTTAGACTTTCATTTCATTGTTGTCGCCTTCTCTTTGTTGATCTCCTAGTTCTTCAGCAAAAAAATGTAAGATCAATTACTAATTTTTTCAGAAGACGAGTATCATCATCAAAAATGCTATTGAATTTCGAATCCGATCTTGAAAATCGTTGTATTGTTATTAAACCAGTTCTCTTACAACGGACGAGAATCGAACGAATGCTAACATAAGTATCACTTCGAGCGATAACTTCTTGAATATAAATGGTTGGTTGAAGTATGAAAGAGACAACTATTTATTAACAAGGAATTTAAATCTAACCATTGCCACAAATGTTCTTCTACCGAAAAAAATATCAAAGTTATATCCTCAACTGTTAAATATTCAATCAATGCAACTCTCAAAAATGAATATTGCGGATCACACTAAATAAAAACAGAGGTGTTAGAATGAACTAAACATGAACAAGATCTGTTTACTTATTATAGTACGAAAAAAATCTTACAAAACTATGTATTTCTAGGCTGATATCGACTCACATTATGGCCATAAACCTATTATAAGATCGATTGAATCGATCTATTAGCTAATCAACAAAATGTAGTTCATCTTTATTAATAGGTACTGCATTTCCTGATGATGAGTCTTCTGATAAAATATCTTACGATAATAAATAATAGATAATTCATCTATAAAGGATGACATGTGGAAAGTAGAGATTTTTTCAATTGATTAAAACTTTAAACAACACATGATGAAAAAAATCTAAAAACAAATATACATACATCATAGTTATACTTTGGGACAGAATTGAAATAAAAAACAAGATTATTCTTATCAATTTTTCAATATTTGAATTAACCAGGATAAAGATATATCGATGTATTATAGTGGTCTTGGAATATTAATTAAAAACACGATATGAGAAAACACAAAATAAGAACATATTCACTCACGTTTTCGAAAGGAAAGAAGAAAAAAATAATGATTATTGCTTGCCCACGCAATAATATATATTTTATGTGTAAGAGAAAAAAACGAAAGTAAGATTCACAAATTAGATTTTTTCGAAATTTTTCTCAAGGTCATAAAGTATTTGCAAAATATTCTTATTTTTGTAATAATAACCTACAATTGAACTCAAGATAAGCTTTACATTCTACAAGTTTCTACATCATAAACATGTATGCGTGTAATAGTCTAATAAAAAAAAATTCTTTTTTTTTTTCATCTTGGTATTCTCTTGTCTTTATATACAATCACTCGCAAAAGTATCTGGACATCTTTTTTTCATTTGCGGAGGAGAAACAAAAGATAATTTTTTTCTTTTTTTACCAGTTGGTGATTCTTGCTCTTTACTAGGTTTCCAATCAATATTATCGAACTGGACAATCATCTCGAATTATGGGATTTGTTCTCGTAAAAATGTCTTATTTTTCAGCAACAGACGTTTGCTTTTCTGTCATTAAAATTAAGTTTGAAAAATTAAATATATTCATGAGAACAAATTCCATAAGTCGAGATAATGGTCAAGTTCGATAATATTGATAGAAAACCTAGTATAGAAAAGTGTCCTGGACGGGTACGACTTTTTGCAATTCGACTCGGGCTAGAGCTTATCAACAGTCACAGCATCATTTCCAAGCTCTTATTTTATAAGAAAAAGTATACCGTTTAGTTGCGTCCATAAATAACAAGAAAAAAAGGAAAAAATATCATCTCAAATTCGACAAAGAACTCAGTGAATCAGAAGATGTCTTCCTGTTTCTAAAAATCCGATCAATTTCGTTAAGTATACGTTTGCTTGTTGATACTCATCCTGTTTTTTTAATAATTCATTTTCCTCTCTATATATTCAATTAGGTTGTCACATGATTCATCATCATCATCATCTGTCGATGAGTTTTAATTAAAAATGAATGCTTTTGGTACGAACCCGTTTTCAGTCATATGGTTTTATATAAAAGGCAGTTTGAAAAAGTAAATATATTTTGAAATGTTGAGATCCTATTGATTGCTGCATTGAGTCCGAGTGCCAGATGCCCGACTCGCTCGTAGGGCAGTAGTATAGAGTAAACACTATCTATTTAGGAAAAGAAAAGAATAATTTTATCTCTTGTTTCTCCTCCGCAAATGAAAAAATACGAAAAACTTTGTAGGTATCAGAATACTTGTTGAAGTGATTGTACGTATCGTTAAAACAAACGATAAGAGAAATACAAAATCAATTATACGCAGGAAAAAAAAAAATATTGGAAAAAAAAGCCAGGTAAGTTGGAATTTTCCAAACTTTCTTCAAGATAATAAAATAAACAAAAAAATGTTCTTGTTTTCGTAATAACCTTGAATTTAAAAAAAGAAGATAGGCTTTAAGTTCTAAAAGTCTCCATGTCGTAAACTTGTATGGATGTATTTGTCTGATTAAAGAAAAAACTTCGTCTTCTATTCTCGAAATTTTGTTATCTTTTTATAAACGTACTGTTCATAAAAATGGCAAGAAAAATACGAAGACCGTTATACACAGAAAAATAACTAACCGTTCGGAAAAATCCAACTAAAGTTGGAAGGTTTTACGTGGAAAGAAGACTTTTTTCTCCCTGTTTCGATCATAGCTTTATATATTCAGTATCAAGAATATTGAAGAATGAAGAAAAAGATGAGTAAGAATCATTATTATTGGCTCTTTCTGTTTGTCTTTGCAATCGCCACCAATTTTCCAATCCTTAATGAAGACAAAAAGACATCAGTACATTTATTTTTTTATTCGTCCATAAAACACACGCAAGAGTAAAATAAAAACAAAGTTTAAGAAAAAAAAAACATGTGAAAGTTGGAGTATCAACAAAAATAAAAAGCATAGATTTTATTACAAAATATTAATTTTTACCATGTATTCAGTTCTTTACTAATGATATGGAATTTTATTATAGAACTTGATTTCTATAAATGAATACTTGAGTAAAGTCACACGCTCATAAATAAAAATATTCCGAAGTATAATAAATAAAATAAAGGCATAAGAAAAACAGATCATATCTCTTTCTGGATTACTATAATCAAAATTTGTTAGTTAATATAAAAAAAAAGAACAACAATTGATGACATGGAACTTTATTTTACTATATTATTCATTTGATATATCTTCACATGGTACACAACCTTCGAAGTTTGTTGTTGACGTTGATGGTTGTTGTGTAGTTTCTGATGCGACTGATCGATTCATAGGAGTTAAAACACGTCGTGATATTTCTTGATCTTCTTGAATCGTTTTTGCAATAAGTGCTTCGTGAGCTTTTTTACATTTTTCAGTTTCCACAAGACGTATAGCTTCTTGCATGTGTGCTGGCAAAGCAGGATTGACACTCAATGTATATGGTAAAATTTCTCTAAGTGTTTTGTCAAAATCCAACATAATTTTGATAAACATTGTATCACCTTGAACAAAACAGTTTTTTTCTTTTGTAATAAGTGCTAAAGGACAGAATTTCAGTATACCACTGGCTATGTTGTTTTCTGAAGTTGGTCTTTGAAAATTACGTGATGTTGTATCAGGATCAAATCTATCAATGATATGATGACCTTTGCCACTCTGATCAAAGAGACAAAACACAACACGAATATTAAATGGCCACCAAAGAATAGCATCATATTCTCCTCTAAAAATGACGATAAATATAGACATATGTGTACCTTTAGCATCACCATCTCCATTTAAACATAAAGATGCACGCATTTTATAACCAGTTGGTGATGAATAGAATACCGGTGACAAAGTTGAAGTTTGTTTTCCGGATTGAGCTTCAGCTAAAATTGAAAAAGATAAAAATTCTCAATTAACGATTTATAGATGAAATCCATTACTCACCAATTTTTTGAGCAACATCTGTAATTTTCCATATAAATGATCCATCATAAGTTGCGTAATGAAGATCTTCAAGTAGTTGTTTGATTTTTAAAAGCTGTTCTTCAAATTCATCTTGATCAGTTTTTATTTTTTTAAAACAAGTATTTGTTTGTTCACAACTACTTTTTAATAATGAACATTCTTCTCTTAGACATTGTAATGAATTATTATGAACACTTAAGGCATCACAAAGATGTTTCATGTTTTCGTGTGTTTTTTCAATAGTCATCATAATTGTTTTGATTTTTGTATTTCGATTGATTGTTTGAGAAAAAGCATTGGTATTCTGAGACGCATAAGGGTAGTGACGTGATGACAAGTGTAGGAAAAGTCTCATTCTATTTGAATTTGTTGGAATGACCTAAAACGATAACAATTGAATTGTTTTTTTTTTCGTTTTATTAAATTGAAGTATAGAGATACCGATTCTTGCGAAATACAAGAAGGAAATAAAGGTTTATTACAACAATTACATGTCCATCTTTGATAACAATGATTCAGATGGTCCTTCAAAAAAAAAGAATAACTAACCAGCATTAAAGAAAATAATAATTTTGACTTTCAATCGTAAATAATGAAAAGCCACGGAAGTATCAAAACAAGTCTTTTAAGGCACTAGAGAAAAAACACAATGTTTTCATCGTAGACTGTTACGTTAAGATCTATCCACTTCGGATGGCTGCTTGCGATCAGGATTAACCGAACTCTATTTTTAGTCATAACATCAGGCACAAGGATCGAGATTTATGTACTTTTTACTCCACATATTGGGACTTCTTGTGACTACTGTAGTTACCTCATAATTTCCAATATTTCTATTCCAACCACATACTGAACATAGGATGGATACTGCTTGAGCATTCTAAAATAAAAAGTATACATCATGTAAGAAACAATGGATAGTCTTTTACTGGAGTATTTGATAATATCGGTTGACAATCTACACATAAACCAGTATACCTTTGAAATATATAAAATAACGAATAGTACATAGAACTAATTGTAAAATAAAATTTGCCTCATTTTACGCTGAATACATTCTAGTTCAGGCGATTCACTCATCATGTTTCTATGAGATGTACATGTACTTGAACCATGTGAATCGAATTTTTCTGGCGGTTGCTTTGTTTTCATTGCCAAAAAGTTATTCAATTCAAGTTTCTTGAACAAATCTAAAAAACTACTGAAAATTTTCATTACTAAACGGGCACACATATCGATATAATATAGTCTATGACATTATAAAACAAAAGAAGACATGTCGGATAATTTCTTAAAGAAACAATCAATTTCTCATTAAGTCATTTCAAAATACATATTAATTAATTGTTGTTGTACAAAACGTTCAACGTATGTGGTGTTTGAAAAGTCGGAATGAAAAAGAAGACATGAATAGATCTTCAGTAATTCAAGAAATTCAAATATTTTTTTTTACAACTCGATCACATATTCATAGAAGCTTTATTCACTATATTTCAGATAAAATGTGTGTTTCTAAATAATTTTATTCATGGTCAAATGCGAATAAGTCAGAATTGTAAAATGACAACTACAAATTGGACTTCAAAAGACAATCATCGTCGACTAATTACTGAAGAAAAAATTGATAAATTTAATGATGTTTGTAAAAATGAGACAGGATCAAATGTTTAATCTATGTAACTCTTCTTCATGAAGCTACCTTGTATGGATTTAATACGAAATATTTCTTCATAATCTGATATATTGCTGTTTCTATTGATGAACAAATTTGTGCATCTTCCAGACTGTAATCGCTTTTCGGTAGTACAAGCTTCATAGAATCGCTAAAATGTGTCTCTAATACAGGATTCAGTATTTTAATTTTAACTTCTGTAGATACGAAGATTTTATATGAAACATTTTATAAATATATGATCAAACTACTCATGAAAATATTTAAATCTCTTGAATTACTGAGGAGCTGTTGAAAGTTTTTTTTTCGTTTGGATTTTTCGAATATTCTGTACATTTTAGTCATTAAATTTACAAAATCCAGAATAGATTTCTACAGAATGGTCTACATATGCAAGTAATCAACTATTAAAATATTCTAGAACACAGAAGTGTGAATAGGTATTATTACGAAAACAAAAAGCTCAGTATTTATACAAAAGAATAGAGAAAAGAGATGAACAAAGAAAGATGTTGAGAATCTTATTCTTCTTTATTTAATTGAGATCAATGAAGACGAAGAAAAAGAGAAAACAACGTACTGTTCTTATTTCATTATAAAATATTGAACAATTTTAATAAAAGGGAAAAATTAGGCATAGGAAAAGATGACAATACATACAAGAGAACTCGAGAGATAAAATATAACATTTGCTCTCATGATTTGTATATTCACATATTCATACTATAATCTCTTGAAATATAATTATTAAATCCATTAGAATCAAATATATTGACTATTAGACTTATAATATTCTCAAATATACTTTAGATAAATGAATATTAACATACACTCAGACGTATTTTATGGTTTTTCATATACCCAAAAACATTCTATAATGCAAAATAGACGTTGCTAAGATGAAACATTTAAACTCGTCGAGACGTATTGAAAACAAATGGTTCCAATTATATCGATATGTAGTAAATGTTGTATTTCAATTGTGCATGTATGTACTAGCTCATTACATTTCAGGCGCATTCATGCCTTACAAAATATCTAAATGAATAATATAAGGTTTCATTGACACAATAGATTTTTATAGTTTGAATCATCATATAGAGTTAAAGTAAATATAATCGTAAAAATATTTTTTTAAATACTCAAGTTTGTTGATTCATTACCTGACTACAACACAAGAAAAGAATATAGATATAAAAAAGTGACATAAGGCTTTTTTTGCTTCGTCATAATATAGAACGTAAAATAAACTAAATAAATTTGTAAGGGTACCTTTTATTCACTTTTCGTTAATCATCATTGACTTCCTAGTCTTACTCATCAAGTTTATTATTTCATCATACAATATGAAATAATGATTGAAAATAAATTCATTACATTATGAAAAATTATTCAATCGAAAACTTACAAATTTAAGAATTTTAAGTTAAAAATAACTTTGAAAAACTGTTCGCTACTTATTTTTTTTGTATCTTTTTTTTTCGTTTTATTACACTTTTATCTTAGAGATTATCTTTTTAACCTCATCTATATACTAAATAACCAATAGTGTATGTATCTATCTATTCTCACATTAAATAACTATCTTAATCTATGTAGTCACATAGAAAAATATCAATTAGTAATAGTGATGCATAATTAAAAGATTCGTTCTGAAATATAGATGAATCGAATATTTATCGAAATAAATCCACTTAATCAAAATATCTTTGAAATTTTAATTACTTTCTATCATTTATAGTATGAAACACAGTTATAACTTACATTGTATTGTTTCTTTTTCGTCGATCGACTAGTTATCAAAATGAAAAACTGTTGCTTTGTTATACTGTAACTACAAAACAATGACGTTATTTTGAATCATTCATCTTGCATACAATATATATCATACTCTGTTGCTACAACATTATAATACACACCAATTCGTTCTTTTTTTTTTTACACGTAATTTATGTCAACATTTAACATATAGTCATGACTTTCTCATACAATAATAATGATGCTTACTCATTTGACTGTCTGACGCTACTATCGATCATCGTACATATTCAACGTTGTTAACGTTACTCATAGCTATTTTTCACACAAACATAAGAACATAATTTATGTCAACAAAAATAAAATTACATGCTTCTATGGTATATTTGTCCTTTTTCTGCCTGAGTAAGAGAAAAATAAATGACAGGTGTATCTAACAACAAAATAAACAATTTTGCTTTTTTTACATATTTCATTACAGCTGAGTATAGCTAGAAACTATCAGCAAATACAATCATTCTCGCAAACATAAACCGTGACCATGTTAAAATTATATAGAGACAAGAAATATGTATGCTTTAAATTGAAGATAATTAATATTCAATAGGCAATATAAATGAGAAACATCGTAATGATACACTTTTTATTTTATAAATATTTGAATAGAATAAAAGAGTAATGCATAATAATAATTTGTTCTACTTTAAAACTTCAAGTAAATTTATAAGATTCATTCATTCCGATTTAAAAACCTTTTAACCATTAAACATTCTATTCGAAAATGTATAAAAATTCAATTTGAATTTTGTACTATAAAAAAAAACACAAATGAATTCTTAACAGAAGACGTTGGATTTATTTCTCATTCAATTATGAATCCTTAAAGTAATGTTTGTCATTAATTCGTTTTTTTATTATAGCCGAGCAATGGAATATGATTAACAAAAATCTTCTTACTTTTCTATCGACCTCATAAGTTACAGCCAATAAAAAAAAAGTCTAACTTTGTAGTTCAAATAAATCTTCAATAGTTAGATCTTCAATATAGACTATTATATGTTCTAGATATTCAGTACATTAATGATTTATTGATTTTGATAGAAATTATCGATATCGTTTGAAATTAATTCATGTTGTCGATGTATATTTAGTACCGAATTAAGACTTGATTCATATACCAGCAGAGCATCAAGTGAAGTGATGAAAAAAAAATAAGAGCAAAGAAAGTTTTAGTCATTGATTAAATTTGACAGGATCTCTGGTAACTAAGTGCATCTAGAGAGACTCCACAAACTGTTGTCTCTATGTCAAAAATTAGCTTCTATATCTTCGTCGTTGAAAAACATTTAAAAGCAAAAATAAAATACACTCATATATTATCATACTTTGTTCAACACGACAAGTACGAATTCTTATACGAAAGATATGTCATCGACTCTGACGCAGTGCTAAAATCAATTTAAAATTATGTACTTTCAGACTATTGAGCATGTGGACTCAGCAACCACTTTTGAATGCTAAGCTTAGGACGAGCCGACTGTCTCCTAGACACAGAAAGAACGATCAAACTCATGTCGGATTTATATGTTTGAAACTCTCAGAGAAATTTAGTTTCCACAAAATTCTACATTGTATTAGACTCAATCAAAAAGATTACTAAAGGATCTGAAAAACCGATGCAAATTGTTCAAATAAGGAAAAAAATTCGTATTACTAGGCCTGAAAATGTTCGCAACTCTGCAACTGAACGATCATCAGACATCAAGTAATCTTTGAAGAAAAACTAGAACTAGTGGTAACTCACTTTTTTGAGAAAATCTAGAGCCACTTCTTTCGACAGGCACTGATCACTGAATATAGTTGTTCTAAAGAGAACTTATCACTCGATGCAATTCTTCTGAAAAGAATTGATCGCTGGATCATTCCCTAGGAAAAAACGTGTTGATAGGACTGGGAGCTGTCGTACGCCTAGATATTACATTAAATCAAAAATTTATCACAAAGAATGGAGAAAAACTGTAATCTGCAGTGAACATTACTTCAACACAAACTTTGTATCATCTAACTACGAAAAACTTGCGTTTTTCTTGAAAAATATATAAGTGATCGAATAGGCTATCGTTGACATAGATAAGACAACCTATGAAATCTCTCTAGATGCACTTAGTAACCACAAATCTTGTTTAAGCTTATCAATCATTAAAACGTTCTTATCTCGTGCATTTGAACAAAATGAAAAAAAAACAGTCTTGTTCTTAAATTTTTCTCCATGACTTTACTTGGCCGAAAGCGACCACAACTGTTACGAATATCGTAAAATCTGGAACATAAGGATTATTTTCTTGTTCAATTGCTTCCAAAGGATAATATTTTTACATAGTACTGATGACATTCAATTCTAAAGTTCATTTTTGAAAAACTACTTGATTTTGTATCACGATAAAATCTAGCAATGATATAGTGACCTTGTCCGAGTTGATCAAAGAGACAAAATATAAAAGGAATAGTAAATAGTCAAGAAAGTGTAGCATTATAATCTACTTTATAAAGAACGAGAAATGATGATATGTGTATCTTCAGCATCACCACCACCATTTAAAGACAAAGATACACTCATTTTATAACCATTTGATGACGAATAGAGTACCGATGATTTAATTGAAGTGTGCTTTCCAGATTGAGTTTCAGCTAAAATTAAAAAAAGAAAAAAAAATTCTCAATGAAGAATTTATTTATGAAACCAATTACTTACTGATTTTTCGAGAAACATCTCGAATCTTCCATATAAGTGTGCCATCATAACTTGTACAGTGAACATCTTGAAGTAGTTTTGTAATTTGTTGAAATTTTTTTTCACATTCATCTTGATTAGATTTTAATTTTTTATTACAAGCATCTTTTTGTTCACAACTTATTTGTAATAATGAATGTTCTTGGCTTTGATATTGTAATGGATTGTTATGGACAATTAATCCATTACCAAGATGTTTCATGTTCTCGTTTGCTTTTTTATTACTTGTAATCATATTAACTGTTTTATTTAGATTCATTGTTTGAGAAAAAGCATTGGTATTCATAGGTACATTAGAGGAATTACATGCTGACCACCTTAGTGAAAGTCTCATTCTATTTGAACTTTCCGGAATGACCTACAACTATCACAATTGAATTGATTTTTGTTTTATTCATTGAAGTATAAATACCGATTCTTCACAGATTCTACAAGGAAAAAACAGTGCATCACAGAAGTTACAAAACCATTTTGAATGATAACGATCTAGATATTCCTTCAAAACGAAAAGAATTATTAATTAGAGTTAAAGCAAATAATAATTTGACTTGGAATCCTTTTTTTTTTTTGATGTAGTCTAGTATAAATTTGTTTAGATAAAAAGTAAATCAATTGATTTATCAACGTATGATTTCATTTTTTCAAGATCATATTTTTACCTCATAATTTCTAAAATAACCATTCAAACCGCATATTGAACATAGTATGGGTGATATGTGAGCTTTCTGAAAAAAAAAAAAAAACGTAGATTGTGTGAGATAAAACTGACAACTTTTTACTAGAATGTTTGATATTTTTTGTTGACAATCTGCACATCTAATGGGATTCCTTAGAAATGAATAAAATAATAAATATTACATAGAATTAATTGTAAAAAAAACAATTTACCTCATTTCACTTTGAAAGACTTCTTCTGATTTTTCCTTCATTTTCATTGTGAAATAAATATCATCTTAAAATTTTTTATATAAATCTAAAAGATGATTGAAAATTGTCATTGTTAAACTGACACACATATCTATATAACATAATCTATGACATTACAAACCAAAAGAAAACATCGAGTAAAACTTTCTAAAAAAAACGATTAATTTCTGATTAACTCATCCGACATGTCAATGAATCTATTATTCCCGATAGGCTTTGATTCTAGAAGGCTCAGCAAATACTATTACACAATTAAAAGATAAAATAGAAACATCTTGTTGAACTCTATATTTTGTATCTAACGAGTTCGCGAAGAGAGTCTTTTGGAATTTCAATAACGATTGGTGAAGTCAAAAAAAATATAATAAGAATGCAGATCTAAAGTGAGTATCATCCCAGGTGAATAATGCAGACGAAGTTTATCTGGAAGCCTCCGGAAAAAGGCATCATGATAAATACAGAAGGATAGTGTTCGGATTCAAGGGCCAGGCTTTTCTACTTCCAATGGTAAATGACCATAACTGAGCAAAACTGTTAATCGAACACAATCACAATAAAATCCTTCAAAGTTCTTACCGTTTTCCAACTTGAAACGTCATCTTTCCTGCGAATTTCAGTCGAATAATCATATACTTGAACGTCGAAATCAGAGAGCTAGAGCCTAATAATTAGTATCTTTAAAGCCTGCATAATGTACTACTGCTGTCGACTAGAGATGTACAAGGTTTCAGGTTAGGACATGGTCAGGACAAGAAAATTTTTCTCAGGATAGGTACAGAGTACGAAAAAAACTTACTTTGCAAATCTCAAGTGTACATTGATTCAACTCGTAAGTCACAGCATTTTATACATCTATGCAACTATATAAATTTTATGTTGGAATTCTCCAACCATGAAAAACAAAATTCATGACAACATATTCATTCTCACAACTGTCCTTTTTCTGCTCACTCATTTTTGCATTCATTTCACCTATGCTTCTTCAACAGTAATAAGCATAAAATTTTGTTTCTTTCTACGGTGACACATTCGGAAGTAAACACACAAGCCGACGAAAAATAAAAAGAATATTTTAAAATCTCATTTGCGTCCTTACAAACGCAAAGAATAGCAGTTCAAGAAAGCATTTTCTGAAATGATAAATATTTCACACAAAGTTGTTCTTTTCATACCATTCTTGCACAGTCATAAAATTGATTCAGTTATTGCCTTTATAAAAGCTAACTTTATCCATTATTTGCCTTCTTTAAATGTTTGATGAATCATGCTAATATTTCTATCGTCCATAAATGTGTATGTCCTAATTAACTCAAACTTTCTTTTTTTCATGACAATCAAATGTTTTAATCTTATCATCGATTTTAAATCAAATAAATGCAACCAACATCATTTTTGAACCAATTCACTAGGCAAGGATTTTTCAAAAAAAGACGCAAGGTTCGCAGTTAACTTAATCCTTCTCAGTAATCATCACATAACAGGCAACAAAATCATTATGAAGTTGAAGCCAAAAGCTCAGAACTTAAAAACTCACACTTCCATTATTGTTCAATGTTCTTGTAAAAGAAATCAACATTTCGTAGAGTATCAAATTCTATATCGATTTCAGTCAACTAGAGATCCAACTCAAGTTCAGGAGCGAATGTCATCGAAGATTACCCAAAACTGCTGCTAACTTCCTTACGTCTATTTTATATCTGATGCTTTATCAATATGATTGTCTACACTATACTTCCATCTTCAGTCTATCCTTTTGGCGCACACCTGTGGGACTTTTACTAACCATACCGTATATTCGCTAAGAACAATGTAGTAGGTAAATGCTGCATATGCATGATGTGAATAATTCGATTTATATACGCAAGCATAAGCGATAAATAGGAAAATACGTAGCCAAACAGTCAGAAAGAATTGGAATTGTGAGAAGCGTTATATGTGTCTAGGATAGACATCGGCGTGACCAATGTTTATTGATCACGGTCACGGTCACGACCGTTGTCGTCGTGACCGTGACTCACGGTAGCCACGCCAGTCTCTATATGAACGACTATTTTCTTTATTCTCAAAATAGCATACTCTTCTCTTACCATAGGAGGTCCCTATATTAGAAGGCTTTTCATAATAGAAGACCCCCTTGGAGAAATATGTGCGAGATTTAGTATAAGACCTCATTCAGTTATCGAATTTTTCGAAAAATAACAACTTCAACCACTGGATTTACACCATAATATGCTTAGTTTTCAGAGTTTTGAGCTGAAAACCTTAACTAAGTGTGTTCAACATTTATCTAGGCTTTTAAAATCCGAAAAATTCCTTCTCAAAGCATCGAAATCGCTTTGGCTTTCTGAGCAATCTTTTTAGATGAAATTTGTAAAAACAAAAGAGACATAACACAAGACCCTCTGGAAAAGTTTTGCGATTAGGCACAATAGAAAACCTCGGATCTCCTCGTGCGTAGAGGCGAAAGGTAATATAACAGATAAACGAAAAAGATTAGGTATGAAAAAAATTGATGAATTTGTTTTTGAGAAAATCTCTTAAAGTTCTTGAAAGTTTATTTGACTAAAGCCTGAATAGAAATGAGCGAAATCAGAACAAGTAAAGAAATGATCAATCGTCGAATAAGTCATCTGATAAAAGNTTGTTCAAGGAGGTTACAATATTTTTTAATGGTAAATTTTTTCTAAAGTATTTCTATGCGAGCTGTTTAAAATATATTAATATTGAGTATATTTTTTCTGGTATCGCGATTGTATTGATTCTATTCCTTCGTTTTGAGTTAGCATAATTAGAAAAGGATATTGATACATATTAAAGAATACTAAATATAATATTGAATTCTCTAATAAAGTTTGAAAATAACTGCTTTATAGTTACATTGAAAATTTATCGTGACCAGGTTTTGGTCACGGTCACGACTTTTTTTCGAAAAATGGTCACGATCGTGACCGTAACTCACGGAAGTTACGGCGGTCACGCCGATGTCTAGTCTAGAACAAAGTTATTGTTTTCCTTCTTGACTGTTCCACTCGTGTTTACTTGTTTCTTTTATGAATTTCTGAAGTTGTACATATGGTAAGCGTGTATGGCCTCCATTTATCTTCAGTATCTTTTGTGAACACTCTTTTACGAGGATTCATATTTGACCTTGATGTCTTTTCAATAATTTATTATTTCATTTATATAAGTTTAACTCTTGTAATATGTCGTTATTCATTCTAATTTATCGTTTTCTTAGTATGGCAGGCACAATATGATCTAGATTTTTCACCATAGAAACGCAATAATAAGTTTCCATACTCGTGTTCATCCCGATTTCAAAAACAAACATTTATATCAGTTCTAATACGGTCAAATATTCCATTCTATTTTTTTTTTATACAAATTATTAGTGAATAATTTCCAAGATTCACATCGGCAATTTTTATTTTCTAGTAATGTGTTCACATACAATTAATGATTCACTATGAATTACATGTCTAAAAATTCATTTCTATACAGTTTTAGATTTTCATCCATGAACCAATTAAATACCATTGTCCATTTGTATTATTTCTCTTTATTCATCACATTGTATGAGTTTGTCTATTCGTCATGACTTATTTCTAATAAACCTTTATAATGACATAATGAATAACCATCCGCTAAGGTTAATGTTAAATCAACAATAGAACCAGTTAAACATACTTCAGTATAAGCTCCAATTGATGATAAGCCAACAAGATAATTTGATTTTCCATGATAAACATAATCCAAAAGCATACAAGAAGCGTATTTTGTATCACGCCATATACCAATTAATGAATGAGAATCATATAACTATTAAAAAACTATTAAGATTTAGATACATTTAACAGACATAAAAAATTGATTAATATTTAGATCAGATAGATGTGGTTCAGCAATGTAAACATCAGTCCCTTGCATATTACCTATACTCTGAAAATAAATTTTCTTTTATACATCATCAATTTTATATATGTAACAATTGAACATGTGAAACAGTCTATGTTTTATAATTAATAATTTTTGAAAAAAAAAAAAGAATCGGTTCTCAATATATGAGTGATTGTTTATCGTATTACATTCCATGGAAGTAAAAAATGTTAATGGGAATATTTCCATATGTCGATACTTCATTTTCTCATTTGTTATATTTTTAGAACACGATGTTAAAGATGACATTTGTTTTGCTCTGTCAGAAGTTGTAATCAAAGTAAATGAAATAGAAAACAAATATTTCGTTTTTATTGAAAACTTGCTTTTCTCTTACAGCAATTGTTTGATGACACGTTTCGAGTATTATTCTATCACGGTAAGAAATAAAGTCAAATATTTTTTGTGTTTGGAATCTCATTTTTCATAAGATTTCTCAGGTTTATTTAAGATTTTTTTTTCTTAAAGTATATCTTTTTCAGTCGCATTGGCTGAAATGAAAAGATTATACAGCTGATTAATAGTTATGATTTCCTTTTTGTTGTTTTTTTATTTGTCAAAGAAACTGCTTTTTCAAAAGTAATAGATATATTATTAGGTCACCGATTTCAGAAACATTTGTTAGGACTCGTCATCCTCTAATGTCCAATATTGAGACTGACTGCACTCCTAGCTATTCTTAGGTCTATAAGAACTACATTTCTTAATAAGGAAAAACAATGTCATCGTTAACATCATATTCTAGGAATTGATGCATCTCTAATCCGAATACTGTCAATGAAAGCGAATAAGACATAGATCAAAGTTCTTCGATTATTTTCTTGATTACTGAAAGCGTTCGTTTTTTTTCTCTTCTGATTCATTAATCAATGTAAACATTAACTTCTAGAACATTATTAATAATGTTGATAATCAATAGAGGAAAAAGAAAATAACAATAGTTTATAAGTAATCATCTACAAAAAGACAAACACATTTGTTTTATATATTATAATAATTGTCTATAAAAAAAACAATCATATTATTTTGTGGACATTTATCAAATGACATCCTTTCATGTATTTAAAAGTATTTTTAATTCATCATTTGAATTCTATGGTTTATCCGAATGGTTATTAGAAATAATGCCGGATAATGTTGATCTCAATCGTTATAAAATAAATCGATCACATAATGGTTGGATATTTCGAAGACATAATGCTCGTTCAAAATTTATTTGTACATATTGTACGCAATCTGAAAATCAATTACACAAAGAAAAGACAATGATAAATAGTTGGACTTCAGTTTATACAACAATACTTTTTCGTGCACGATTAGATAAATCTTTCAATGGTCAAAATATTGGTCGAATACAAATGAGAATATTTGAACAAGGTTGTTATAAATGTAATATGTATAGTATAGGTATTATGGATGAAAGTGAAATATCCAACCATTATGTGATCGATTTATTTTATAACGATTGAGATCAACATTATCC